TCTCTCTCTCTATCTCTCTCTCTCTCCTCTCTCTCTCTCTCCCCCTCCCTCCCTCCCTACCTCCCTCCCTCCCTCCCTCCTCCATCTATCTCTCTCTCTCTTCTCTCTCTCTCTCTCTCTCTCTCTCTCTCTCTCTCTCTCTCTCTCTCTCTCTCTCTCTCTCTCTCTCTCTCTCTATCCATTCCACCCTCTCCCTCTCCCTCCCCCATGCACGACCATGCCCGCCCATCTCACTCCCCTCTCCCCTCCTGCGTGCCTCTCCTCTCTCCTGGATGCGGGCATGCCCTGTGTGTGTGTGTGTGTGTGTGTGTGTGTGTGTGTGTGTGTGTGTGTGTGTGTGTGTGTGTGCGTGTGTGTGTGTGTGTGTGCGTGCGTGCGTGCGTGCGTGCGTGTGTGTGTGTTGTGTGTGTATGTGTGGTGTGTGTGTGTGTGTGCATGCATGCAATGAGAGCAGATGACGGACAGTGTGGAGAAGGCAGACGGGTACATGAGGGCGGCTTTCAAGTTCCTAGACTCGGTCGGCTGTGACCCCTTGCACCACGCGCCCGCCCTCGCCTCGCAGGCTGCAGCAGCGGCGCGCACCCTCAATGAAACGGCCCAGCTCTTTGAGTATGTCTCCCATTGCCACGCTGCTGCCCGTGCTGCCCTTTCTGCCGTTCTGTCCTCGCTGCCCGCATTTAGTTGCCTCGCCATGTGTGCTCTGCTGGTGTGTGAGGCGTCACCCATGCACCACCCCACCTACCAGTGCACACACCCCACCTACCCGTGCACCACCCCACCTACCCGTGCACCACACCACCTGCCTGTGCACCTCGTCTCTGCCTCACTGCAACCCATGTCACGACACTCTTCCTTCTTACCACCACCGTTTACGCCCCTTCCGATGCTTCTCAACGTCATGCTCCCGCAATTGAGCACCACAGCCCACCGTCCCCTGATGTATCATATTCATTGCACCATTCCTTCGCGGCACCTCTCCCCTGTGTTCGCACCCTCTTCCCCGTGCCCGCTCTCCCCCGTGCCCGCTCTCCCCCGTGCCCGCTCTCCCCCGTGTCCGCTCCCCCCCTGCCCCCAGGTGTACAGGGCGGTTTTATACGAGACATCGGCGCTGCACGCGCCGGCAGCACTGGCGTATAAGTGTGCGGCCATCGCACGCACGCGCGCACTCGCTGCACTGCGCTCCTCCAGCAAGCGGGAGAGGCAGGACCTGCTCGTGCTTGCCGACTCACACCCCCAGCCACAGCAGCCTGCCTGCTGCTGCTACTGCTCCGCCTTCCTCCGACCCGCAAGGCATGTCTCTCAGCCGTCTGCTTGCTCACTGTTGGAGTGCTCTTTGCCCACCACGTGCTCTTTGCCCACCACGTGCTCTTTGCCCACCACGTGCTCTTTGCCCACCACGTGCTCTTTGCCCACCACGTGCTCTTTGCCCACCACGTGCTCTTTGCCCACCACGTGCTCTTTGCCCACCATGTGCTCTTTGCCCACCACGTGCTCTTTGCCCACACATGTTCATGCCTGGTGTTTATTGCAGCACACGGCACACTCGGGGGGACTCCTGCTCCCTCTCGTCTCGTTTCTCCTGCGCCCTATGTCCCACTGCTCCTCGTTTTCTCCCTGCGTCATCTCAACTCAGCCACTCTCTTCTTATCGCCTCTCCCCCTCCCTTCCTCTCTCCCTCTCTCCCTCCCTCTCTCCCTTTCTAGCTTCCTCCCTCTCCCTTTCTCCCTCCTTACCTATCTCTCTTTCTTTCTCCTTCACTCTCTCCCTTTCTTTTCCTCCCTCTCTCCTGTTCTCTCCCTCTCTCTCCTCCGCTCTCCCTCTCTCCCTCCGTCTCTCCCTTCGTCTCTCCCTCCCCCTCTCCATTCCTCTCTCCCTCTCTCCCTTCCTCTCTCCCTCCCTCTCTCCCTTCCTCTTTCCCTGCCTCTCTCCCTTCCTCTCTCCCCCCCCTCTCCCTTCCTCTCGCCCCCCCCCTCCTCCCTTCCTCTCCCACTTCCTCTCTCCTGTTCTCACCACCCGCCCCACACGAGCAGGTGTGAGGGCGGGAGCATCGCCAGCATCATCTGCCGCATCAGACGTGGACAACGCATCTGCTACTCTCAGGCACCCACACCACCACCACCATCACCACCACACACCCAATCTCACCGCCGCTGCCTCCTCCCCCTCGCCGTCTCCTGCACCTGGGACTGCTGCTGCCATTGCTGGAGCAGGAGGGGGAGCGGGGGGGGCATCTTGTGTGTGCATACCGGATCGACTGGTGCCCAGCCTGCGCAGAGTACTCAAAGAGGTCTGCCAGCCCTGCCCTCCCTGCTGTGCCCCCACCTCCTCGCATTCCCCTGCTCTCTGCCCCCCACCTTTCTGCCCCCAGCTCTCCTCCCTTTCCCATCCTTCCCTCTCCTTGCCTCCACTCCCCATCCTGCCGGTCCTCCGTCATCCATTTCGTTCTTTCTCCCCCCACCACTCGTCTTCTCCCCCCGTCCTCCCGGCACAAACATCTGAGAAGATTGCTGCATTGTGCTACCCCGTGCCCCCATGCCCTGTGTCCCTATATGTGTGTGTGCTGTGTGTGTGCGTGCAACAGGGCAACGACATGGCGAGCATAATGGACACGTGGGGCAAGGCAGCAGCAGCGGCAGCGCATGCGATGCAGCACGCGGACGTGAGTGCGGCGGCGCTGCAGAAGCTGCATGCCGTGGGGGACTGCGCCGGCATGCTGCCTGGCGACGCTGTGTGGCGCGCTGCCCTCGACGCCTTCGCCTCCATCCGCCCCTGACTCCCGCACGCACCGCACTCACCCACCCACCCACCCGCCTTCCCCCGCCCTGCTCCGCCTCGCTCCCGCGCGCTTGTGTGCCCGTGTGCGCTGCGGTTACTGCATTTGCCAGCTGCAGGCCTGCCTGTCTGCCTGCCTGCCTGCGCGGCCCTGTCTGAGAGGCTGTGATGGTGGTAGCGCGGGTACAGGATAGCACCTGCATTGTGCACCTGCCCTTCCAGGCGTCGCCATGTACCTGTACTTGTAGTGGACTGGGACTCTGGGAGGCCCTCTGCCTCTTATCTCGAGTCATGAGCCAAGCAGCCCCTCACAGTACAGCCCACCAGTGGCATGGCAAGCTGCTGGCGGAGAGGAGACAGACAGCCCACGCACCGCACCGCACTGCACCCAGTACTTATATCCTTCCTTCCCAGTCAACCTCGGCACTGCAGGCTGCCAGTGCAGCATCCATCCATCCACCCACTGTTCTGGATGGCTGATGGGTTGTCAGGGCGCACGGAATGCCAGCAGCAGATGAATTGCAAGGGTTCTGGGTTTAATGAACACTGGTTTTATTATAGTGCCGCCGAGGAAGGGAAAAAACACTCAGCTTTTGGGGAAATGTCAGCTCCTGCTGGTCATGAGCACTGCGACTAGGTCGGGGAATGCAAAGGTGCAGGAAATTATTGGTTTTGTGCTGTATGTCCTGTTTTCCGTGCTTTTATATTCTTTCTGTCCGTCAAATTAAGCCCTGTATGTGCACCATCCAGAACCTTTTCAAATCTCTTCCGTCTGGTTGATATACGAATGTCAAATGCAATGCACTGGTGTTCACCAGCGCTCTAACGAGGATTGCCGGCATGCTCGCTTTCCCTGCATCTACGTCGCAGACAGCAGCCCAAGTCCGCGGGTCGGGGAAGGACCCTTCGTGGGTTAGGAGGGGGAGGGGGAATGGGTCGTACGTGTGTCAGGTACACGCGTATCGGAAAATCAGGGCTCGTTCTCGGGTGACGACGGGGAGGCCATTACATAAGGTACGCAAAGAGGTTGGTTTCCCGCCCAAACTGGACTTCATTGCTGCCAGTCCGTTACTCTCTGTAACGGCTTGCACTGTAGTAAAAAGAGCAAAAGGGGTGATTAGGCAGATTTGACAGATTTGGCTGGGTGTAAATATGTGATTGTTCCTGCCAGCAAAAACGGGAAGTTCGCGGCCCGCCAACGTAGAGTGACGCACGAAGGGGCAAGAGGAAAATGGACTGCATTTGTTACCTCGGAGGCATAAGAGGAAGGCGGCGGAAGGACAGATTCACAAGTGCGGAAACGACCATGGAAGGGCGGGTGACGGCATCGGAGGGGGAAGCGCGAGCGACGCCGCGGCACGGCAGCAGAAGCGACGATATGGCAACAAGGGATGCGCGCGCGGTGAAGGGGTACTGAGTGAAAAAGGGTCGTCCTTGTTTTGCTCTGCTCTAGTAGTACTAGGTTCGACTCGCCAGCCAATGAATAGCCCGAGGCGTGGAACGGAGTCATTTCACTGAGAAAGAGCCCGACAGAACGACAAGAGCCAGCAGAGCAAGTGTGTGTGTGTGTGTGTGTGTGTGTGTGTGTGTGTGTGTGTGTGTGTGTGTGTGTGTGTGTGTGTGTGTGTGTGTGTCTGTGTGTGTGTTTTGTTTGTTTGTTTTTTTTTTTGGCAGAAGCGCCGAGTCTACACTCCAAGTCTTTGGTAAGAAGATACTACCCGCTGGTCCGTTATGAGGTGTTTTTTGTAGGAAATTTTCGCAAGAGGTCACCGCATGATCATCGGCTGCTGAACCTACTTTTCCAAGAGTGATGTGGGGACATCACCAAAATGTTGCTGACCCAAACCTGGCCCCCAAGCGTCCTCGACCCTAGTTTGTCCTAAAAGTGACCCGGTATTGACCAGAAGTTAGTAAGAAGACAGTTTGGGTCAGAAGTTAGTAAGGAGACAGTTTGAGGCTAGTAAGTATATTAAACACATAAGTGACTTGGCCCAAAACTGTCCCCAATCTGACGTGCGCGAAAGGTCGGCGGATCGATGCTCGCCGGGTGCATTGTAACGAGTGTAATGAAGACATGAAAATAGGACCAACAAGAAACAAGACTGCCTTGAAGTTACAATGGCTTCCGGCACCCTATTCTTTTCGTAAAAGCATTGAATGCGATTGCTCCCTTACGCCCACACTTTTCCCTGCCTTGCTTGCCGCCCCCCTCCCTTCCTCCCCTACCTTTTCCCCGTTCTACCTCTCTCACAAGGATTACGCCCACAGGGCAATGTCACGTGAAGCCGCAAGCCACGACTACAATTTCCCATCGTTGCAAAGCCCTGCAGAGTTGGCGGGCGCTCAGGCCCTTTACAGAGTTGACTGCAGGACATGACCCCCTCCCTCCACTCACCTCCTTGTTCCCCACAGGCACTCCCAGCAAAAGCCCCCACATCTGCCACCCTCGTGGCGTGAGTGCTGCTGCCACCTGAGCGAGCGCCGCGAGTCGCGCCATTCATGGCACCATTGAAAGTGGCGAGAGGAGTCGTGCGAGGGAGCGGGAGGAAGCGGGTGATGGCGAGGAGCAGTGGCGCGGGGGTGGCTGGGCGGGTGGCTGTGATGGGCGTGGTGGCGGTGCTGGCGATGGTGGGGAGCGACGAGGGCCTCACGAAGGGCGGTTGGGCGCAGCGCTGCTTCTGGCGCAGCAGCGGCTGCAGCCGTGGCTTCCCCCCATCATGATGGCACATGCTGCTCCGCTTCACCCCAGCCAGTGTGAGAGTGTGGTTGTGTGAGTGTGGTGGGGTGCGAGTTGTGCGTGCGCGCGCGCGCGCGCGCGTGTGTGTGTGTGTGTGCGGCACGTGCGCGGCACACGTGTGTGCTTGACCTCCATTGCTGCGCTGCGCCTCACCTGGTATTGGGCTTCCCGTTGCACCCATTGTTGCGCTGCACAGGGCCGGCGTTCCGAGACATGAAAGCGCAAATGACTAGCAACTTCAGACTTGATATGAGCACGTGGGTGCAGAACGGTGACTGCAACACTTTCGATGGTGTCAGCTGCGACGGTGCTGGCTTCGTGACATTGCTGTGAGTGTGGGGCATGCGTGGCACGAGGCGCTCGCGGCATGAGGTGTAACACCTGTGGGCTTACGCGAGGGTTTGAAAGGCATCCGCAGTGCGTCTTGGCATGCCCTTCACCCAGTGGTGCAGCGGGGCGTTATATGCGCTGCTCCTTGCACGAGGCGCTCATTCCAAACTGTGGATAAGTTAAAAAAACAGTCATGCGTCGGCTGGTCGTTGCTACAATGGCCCGTTTCAGTGATGCAGGATCTTCTAGTCTGCAGCCTCACACTCTTTTGAAAAATTTCCAGTACCACTCCAATTTAATGCAGCCTTACTCTTACCTTCCCTACTTGTGCATGCATTGCAATGTGTGTCATTCAGAAGTTTATCGTACAGTCATTTAACCGGCTCCCTTCCTGAGACCATTGGCGTCTTCAGCCGCCTTCAATACTTGTACGTACTCTCTCACTATTTTTTGAAGCCCCTACCCCCCACTGCCCCCCAACCTCCTGCCTCTCTCTCCGACGTGGGCGCCAGATGAGCTGAGTGGAACAAGGTCGAGTTGGCAAAAGTGCTAGTCGAAGAGATTTCAAGCTGAGTCGGGTGAGAGGTGACCGAGTTTAAGCTGTCGGCCTTTGTGCTAGTGTCAGAGGTGGACTTTTAAGCAAGTCTCTTCTTACTTCATCTGCTTGTTGTCTATCCTCTGGCACCTCAATGACAAAACGCTGGCTGTGAAGGTGGATGAGATTATGAAATGGTCTTGGTACGAAGTGGGCTCAAGTGTGGTGGTGTTTCCGTATGAAGGTTTGTGATACTAACGAAAGGGGCGACAGTACAAGGGGGCCCATGGTATGAAAGTGTGTGTGTGTGTGTGTGTGTGTGTGTGTGTGTGTGTGTGTGTGTGTGTGTGTGCGTGTGTGTGTGCGTGTGTGTGTGTGTGTGTGTGCGTGGGTGTGTGTTTTCTGTTTGTTTGCTTGTTTGTTTGTTTTGTTTTGTTTGTTTGTTTGTTTGTTTGCTTATTTGTGTGCGTCTTTTTTTCCTTTTGGAATTTACACTTTCCCCTCGCTGCTCACAAGTCATTTGCTTGTAAACTGGAAAAGTGTTTTACCTCAAGCAAGGCCGTTCGCTGCAGCTCCATTACACGATCCCCCATCCGGATGCCTGCCGCTCTTGCGAGGGCTCTGTGATGAGGGTTGTGATGAGTATTTGAAACTGGGTCTTTTGTTGCAAGTTGCAAACATGCTGGGAGATGGTTATGGTATATGACGGTATGATGCTATGATGGACGGGGGCTAATGACATGAGTGGAGTGGGTTGGTATTTTGAGGGGGGTGGTGATGGTACGAAAATCATGGATCATATATGGCCTAAAATGGGCAACAATGACTGTACCAGAATCTGGATTCGTGTCGGCAAAAGCCCATGTCTGCTTTGCCTTTCCCTTATAACCCACCACCCCCTATCCCTTTCATCTTCCACTGTTCAGACACACATCCCATCGCGCCTCCCATGCCTTGCCTCTCTTATTCGTCTTTCTCACTTCTCCCTCTTCACCCTAGCTCTCCCCTCCCTCGCCACGCCCCCTCTTTTCCCACTCAGCTACATAGACCAAAACTCTATATCGGGCTCACTCCCAGCCTCCTTCTCCAACCTCGTTTCTCTAAGAGAATTGTGAGACGACCTTTCCATCACGCAACTGCTGGTCTGCTCGCGTTGCTCCAACACGCACACAGCTCCTAAACTGAGTCGACAAAGAAATCGTCTCCAGCCATTGTCACTGTCATGTTGCTGTCAGAGCGAGCACCTCCCATGCCTCTCTCATGCTTTTTTCCATTATGCATCACCTTCCCCGCTTGTCTATCTGTCACCTCATCACCTCACTTCAGAATAGGTCTTAGGCCTCTTCAGAGTAGTTTTCAGTTTGGCTGGACCACGGCCTTGTTGCCTTTTCCCTGAACTCGTGCCATTCTTCTTTGTTTCTCCTCGTCTGTGCTGTGCTGCTTTTGCGTGTTACAAAGACACTTCCTTTTTCCTCACGGATCGTGGACGTACATACATATGTGTACATATATGAATGCACTTATAGTTCTATATATGAATGCACTTATAGTTCTATATATGAATGCCAACCACACTGCAAGCACCACCACACCACATCAAACCAGATGGAAAAAATGGAGGTGTGAAATTATGTGGTTCCGAGTCTGCTGTCATGAAGCATTGCTGCACATTTCCTGCATTCCCTGCACATCAACCATCCCTTACACGCCTTACAATGCCTTACATGCCTTACATCCCTTTACCCACACGCAGCGACGCCCATTCCAATCAGCTCAGTGGGCCCCTGCCTGAGGGCATCGGCACTCTCACTGCCCTGTATGAATTGTAAGGCCTTTCTCTCTCCCTTCAACCTTCTCTTCCTTTCAACTCCTCTCCCTTCAATTTTTGTTCGCTTCCCGAAGTTCTATCTCTCAATCTTTTCATCACTTAAAACTGGTTCTTCTCAGAGGACCTTTCCAACTCAACTAGTAGCCCAAACACATCAGCTAACCCGCATCAGCATACTCGCACCCTCAAGGGGAAGTCAACAAACATTCAGCTGCTGCATATGTATGTTCCATCCAACACGTGCCCCCCTCCTCCTCCACCCACAAGGCCCACTCCTCATGCTTATCCTTTCCACTGCACATTGTTCTCTCGAGTCAGGTATTTGCAGGACAACCAATTGGACGGGCCGATCCCATCGTCCTTCACGGGGCTAACTGCGTTAACGCTGTGGTAAGGTCACCAGCGCTATCTGTGCATCACATGCTGGCTGGCGCCACTCCAGGGACTCCAGGGCGTATATATAATAGATATTGAGAGGTCTTTATATGTAGCTGTGAAAAAGGTTTGGTGTGCCAAAAATAAGCTTACACCAGACACAGATGAGCAAATGGTTGCAATCGTTCAGTTCGTGACGAGCTGCTATGCCCCGGCCGAACCTTGCTCGTTTTAGAAGACTTCAGGCAGTGTAGGCAAGGCAAGTCAAAGCTCGACTCGTTGCTCACGTCTATCAATCATTGCGTTGCTTGCTCGTGTTGGCTTCATTCTCATCACATCACTCATGCAAGAATGGGCTCGTCTGTATTAAGCTGTTTTCCTTCTTCTTCTTCTTCTTTTCTTCCTTCCTTCCTTCCTTCCTTCCTTCCTTCCTTCCTTCCTTCCTTCCTTTCTTTCTTTCTTTCTTTCTTTCTTTCTTTCTTTCTTTCTTTCTTTCTTTCTTTCTTTCTTTCTTTCTTCTTTCTTCTTTCTTTCTTTTTTTCTCTGTGAAACCTTGGCCGTCCCTCTTTCAGCGAGCTATCTAACAACCAAATAACGGGAAGTCTACCAGAGGGGCTGGGTGCCGTCACCAAACTAATTGCTCTGTGAGTTCTTCTCATGCCCTCGCCTCTGCCTCCTCCCCAGTGTCCCGCTCCTCCCTCGCATGTGTCCCACTTTATGGCCTTGATTGTTGTGCTTGCCTGCTGCCTGTGGCCCGCAGCCAACACAAACACACCTATTTCCCAAACGCAAGTGCATGTCCCCCATTTTGCTGCCTGGGCATCCCAACCCATCCAGATCCAGCCCTGCATCTAGTGAACATCATGACGCAATCTACCATCATCATTCACCACCCCAGCCATCATCGCTCCCTTGCTGCCATCACCCCTTGCTGCCATCATCCCTTGCAGGCGTGCCTACAACAACCTCATATCGGGCCCCCTGCCTGCCTCTATAACAGCCATGACTAGACTGTATTACATGTGAGCCTCTCCATGCACTTGCACGCCCCAAATAGTCCGACCTTGCCTTCGCCAAGCTGGGGCCAAGCTGGGGCCAAGCTGGGGCCACAATGTAAATCTAAAATTGAAATCGCGGACTGTGCTGGCTCCAGGCCAACCAGCGTTAAAGACTCCGTGTTTGGCTTCATTCCACGCCCAAGCACAGAGTGTTGTGCCTTCAAAGCTCTGAGCCTGGAGGTGACTTTTGAGTCGACTCAATAGTCAGCCCAAGCACAGAGTGCTGTGCCTTCAGAGCTCTGAGCCTGGATCGTAACCCACCTCCCCAGCAAGCTTGGCTAGTTGATAAACATTTGTAGCCGAGACATGGGCGGTGGGAGATCCTAAACTGAAGTTCAAGGGGAAAATTGCCATATTGTCCCTAAATTTGAGATTGCCAATTGAAGGCTTGTCGAGCCTAGTCAGGTTGTTGTGTTCGTTTGGCGCACAAGCCGTCGTGGCCGGCGGAATGTACAAAACGAAGCCTGGCTCGTTCATTTGAACCAGGCAGCTCAAATGGTTGCCCACAGGACATACAATTAGTTCATGCCTACAAAGCTACCACCCCCCTCCCGCCATTCCTTCTCACAACCCCGTTTAGTCTTCCCATTTGACCCCTCTGTCCTTTCATCGTCTCTTGTCTCCCTCTCCAGTTCTCTGTTTGTTTCCTTCTTGCTCTCTGCACCTGTCCTCTCCTCCTGTCCCCTGCACCCCTTGCCTTGCGAGGCAGCGAGTTGCAGAACAACAGCTTGAGTGGCCATATCCCGTCCAACATAGGCAGCACTACCTCACTGAACGTGCTGTGAGTCATGGGAAGGTGGAGTGTGGGTGTTGCCTCATGGCATTCACATCTGGCATGCACATGGGGTATGGGATTCGAGTCGTGTGTTATGGGGAGGGTGTGGGCACGGTATGTAGGACGTGGTGTAGTGCACTCCTCCGTACTAGCAATCCCGTTAGTAACCCCAATCGCCCCACTAGCAAGCATGTTGGTTTCCCAATAATGGGTGGGTCGCCCCCAATTGATTAAGCAACTATGTTGGCCAAGCCAACCAATAATGATGATGTTGCTCACCACCTAATTACCCCGTCTTTCTTCTTTTATGTACTCCACGCCACCCTAACACAATTCCTAAGTTTATTCATCCCAACTATGGGATTCTCACATATCAGGTATGGGATCATAGGTGCATGGGTGTGTGGGGGCATGGGTGCATGGGTGTATGGGTGGTGCATGGGTGCATGGGGGTATGGGTGCATGCATGGCAGTTCCAGTTGACCTTCTGATCAAGGGCTCGAGCTACAACTCACCTCCCTTAATCTGCTCACCTCCCTGGACAGCCATAAGGGTAACGAACTTAGTGACTCATTTACAGTCAACCACCACGATCCTGCTACAAGAGCCAAGCCATTTTCCTTTCTGATACTTTTCAGATATGAGCAACGTTTTCTCCCTTCCACTGAAAAAGCAACATTGGGTCCCTCATACCTTCTTTTTTCGCATGTTAAGACATTCCCGTACCTCGAACCCCCTCTATCACCACCCCCTACGTTGCCGTCCCTCAGTAACCTCAGAGATAACCAGCTGTCGGGAACAATCCCTTCAACCATCGGAAACCTCTTCCAGCTGTACTCACTGTGAGCTCCACATGCTCCCCCCTGTGCTGTGCACGTGCGCTCTCTGCAATGCCATGCCTATCTGGGTCGCAACCTGGGATGCTGTTGCTGCCTGCTCCTGCCCGTGCCTGCACCATTCATGCTGTGCTGCGCACCTCACCTATGTGCCCTGCTGCTGCATCCCATGCGCGCGTCGCCCCAAACGAAACAATGCATCCTCTCTGCACCACTCTTTACGTCTCATCTCCTTCCCCCTCCACCCCCCCACTTTCCCCCTTGTAGTGATACCTGCCCTTCCATCGCATCTGGCATCACTCTTGGCTCTTTCCCTGCGCATCTCATTTCCATTCGTCTCTTCAACAGAGACATCAGTAACAACCAGATTTCTGGCACTATACCGGACGATATCACAGGCTTGGTCTACCTCACACTGCTGTAAGCCTGACACTGCTGTTATTCTCTCGGGTTTTGCCCCCATCCTCTCCCCTGTCTCTCCCTTGTCTCTCCTTCCCCTCCAAGCACGTTGAGTATGAGTCAAGTTGCGAATCACACGTGTCACCTGCAACAAATACCTGCTTCCTCTCTGGAGATGCGTGTGCTGATCGGCCTTCTTCTTTCTCTTTCTTTCCTGTCATCCTCGTTCCAGTCCCTATACTTTGCCCTTTTTCCACCTTTTGTCCCTCTATCCAAGTGCACCTGCTGCACCTATTGGCCATCCACCCTCTCCTCTCCGAGCTGTGAAAACAGCGAGTTCGGCACTTGGAGCCTGCTGCACGTGCATTGCATTCACCTGTCGCAGCCCTGCCGCTCAATTCTTGATGAGCCGAGTCGAACAGGGCTCGGGACGAGCTGTGATACCTAAACCCTTTTAACCAAACTCAAAATCTCGTCTGACAGACGGTAACCGGAGGTTACTTACTTTCAAGGCTCGGGGGCTTGCAGACAGGCCATTAGCAGAGAGAACTAGCACAGGCCACTGGAGCAGCACGTCCCTATGTGCCCGCCACCTGTTTCAACCATGCCAGAGCCAGATCCGTGTGTCGAAGTGCGAAGTCCATGGGGATGTGATGGCGAAGTGCGTGCGTAATCTAGTGGTGAAGTATTGCACAATTCTTACGCGCAAGTAAAACTCGACTACATCCAGTCGATTTTTTTTTCCCCTATAACTTACGTTTTTCGGATTACCAAAACGAGTCGAGAGGATACTCCACTCATATGCCCGTGTAGAATCTTGCAGAGCCATTGTCTCTGCAAGTCCGCATACCCCTCCAGCCCCGTTACCTCATCCTCTGCGGGAATAACTACTACAACAGGAGCTAGACTACGGGCTAGGCATGGGTGCTCGTGTGATCTCTGCGTTCGTTGTTCCTTAGTCGTTTTCCTAGTGCACACACTGCTTGCTAGTTCACGGGGCAATTTGGCAAGAGTTTCACTAAGAAAGGTTGACAACAATGATACAATGAAGTTGGCAAGGTAGGACTACATCAGAGCTAGCATGCAAGCAAGCCTACTGCCAGCGCAGCACGGTCGACTGCGTGCCAGCACGACTTGGTCGACCGCGTTCCAGCAGTGCAGAGTCGCGGCTTGCCAACGCTGCAAGTCGACGGCGTGTCAGCGTCGCAGGTTGACGGCGTGCCAACGTTGCTCCCGCAGGACAGCAGTGCACCTGCTTCGCAGGTGCTCGCAGATGATTGGCGTGCAGTGCCTCGTCACCTGCACAACGCACACACCACGTCAACTTCGTGCTGACGACTGCTTCTGATCAGCCACGTCGACCTCGGGATACCACCACCGAGGTCGTCCTTGCCAACGTCTCCTGGGCGACCTTCGCGTGCCTTCGCAGATCCTCGTCACCCAGGTAACCTGGTCGACCGAGCAACCACGTCGACTAGCTGCTCCCATGTGTGCCCGTCGACCTGCCTCCTGTCGACCTCACCAGGTCGACCACTACCTCAGGTCGACCAGCTCCAGGTCGACGTCACTCCTGGTCGACCAGCTCCTCGTTGACCAGCAGTCAGCCAACCCCAAAGTCGGCTATTCGAAGTCGGCGTCACCAAGTTGACGCCCAGCTACTCGACGCCCGACAGCTCGGCGTACAGAATCCCTCTGTCGAGGTCGACGTCGGCCCCTCCTTCGTCGACCATCACATTCGGTCGACCACCAGGTCGACATCACGCCTGGTCGACCAACCACCAAGTCGAACAGCAATCTTGTCAGCCGACCACCCAAGTCGGCTGCCCCAAGTTGGCGTCACCAAGTCGACGCCCTCCGCATGTCAACTTCCCAGGTCGACCACCCGAAGTTGGCGCCCGTTCGAAGTTGGCGCCCATGCAGTGGTTTCCCGTACAGGTCGACCAACCCCGTCGACCAGCTCGCCTATTGCTACAGGTCGGCTGCACCCCTACACCCGACCATGAAGTCGGCTCCGCCCAAGCGAGGACGGGGCCAACACACAACTCTAGTTGACATCCTCCCCATGTTTGCTTTAACCTTTCATACTTTCCTCCATCCAGTGTTGCACCCCTCTCTCATCCGCCCTCCCCTGTCCAGTTCCATTGTCCATCCATCACACACTTCGACTCGACTTGTCTTTCTTGCTTTCTTCTGTCCCTTATGCTGCGTGCAGGGACATGAGCTCAAACAGTCTAACTGGCACCATACCACAAAAGCTTTCTGGTCTTACCAATCTTCAAGTCCTGTAGGCCCTGTACCCCCCCAATATCGCTTTCCCATCATGATTCCAAACTAAAGAATGATCCTTTTCTTTGTTTCCTCGTGCTTCCAGCCTCAAGCCATGCGACTTCTTCCTGTGTGTCTGCCTTTTTCTCATCTGCTCTCCCCCATTCGACTTCCTAATCCATCTTTTTCTTTTTAGTCGATTCAGATATTCATTCCCAATCCTTCCTCTCTCCATCTGAATCCACTCTCCCTACATCGCCAGCAACCTGAGGGACAATCAGCTGACAGGGAAGGTGGTGGAGCCGGTGCCACCAGCAGTGAGGGTGTACAAGCTGGACCACAACTACCTCACTCAGGGGTTCTCCTCCCCCCCGCCGTGCGGGCAGGGCTACATCACCTTCAGCAGCAACTGCGCGGCCGCACCAGCACAGGGCCTGGCATGTGTGGACGAGACTCAGAGGGCTGAGGAGGTGTGCTCTGCCTTCTGCGGTGTCTCTCCCACCGACCTTCCCTGCAACGGCCATGGCGTGTGCTTCTTGGACGGCCCCAGCAACACGCCCACATGCCTCTGTGATGATAACTACGTGATTGGGGAGTTCCCCGGCAGCTGCGTGGTCGTGGCAGGTGAGTTCATCAAATCGCCCCCCCCCCCGCATTTTTCATGCAAGCAAAATCTCTTGCAATGGTGGTGATCTCTATGCTACTGCCAAGCACACCAGATCGTGGTAACTCTTCTTGAATAAGCTCATACCTCCTAGTCACTGCCACAATGGTGCTCCTTTTGGAAAGTACGTAATGCGTTCAACTCAAGAACCGCCTCTGTTCCCTGCATCCCACCTTCAGGTGGTAAGACGGAGCAGCAGCAGACCCCCACAGCAGCCACGCTCACAGCCACAGGCGACGCCTCAGTGGATGCTGCAACAGCCACGCTCACTCTCACACCCGCCCAGCCGTCCAAGGCTGGCAGTGTGTTCCTGGCAGCGCGCGTGCCGCTCTTCTCCTACCAGCTCATCGGGGACTCCTGCGGCCGCCAGCTCGCCTTCTCCTCCTCCTTCTCCTTCACTCTCACCCGCTCTGCTGCCGCCGGCTCCGAAGGCTTTGCATGTGTGGTGGCCTTTGATGCCACCCCGCCCACAACACCGGTGGCGGGCGGCATGGGGTATGCGGGGATGGGAGCGCGCAGCGTGGCAGTGGAGTTTGACACGTCGATGGATGCGGGCAACAGCGATCCTGACAGCAACCACGTAGGCATCAACACCGGCGGCAGTGTCACGTCGGTGATCACAGCCAAGCCCAGCACCCCTCTCAATGACGGCAAGCCCAAGCACGTGTGGATCAAGTACGACCCTTCCTCCAGTGGCTCCCTGCGTATCTTCCTCTCCTCCCAGGCGTCCCCTCGCCCCACGACCCCCCTCCTGTCGGCACGCATCTCCCTGTGTGAGGAGCTCGCCCCCTCCCCATCGGAGTACACCTTTGCTATGGGCTTCACTGCTGCCTCCGCCACCCAGCCTCAAAGCCATGTCGTCTAAGCCTGGACCCTCTCCACCTGTGAGTGCACCTCTCCACCTGTGAGTGCACCTCTCCACCTTTGAGTGCACCTCTCCACCTGTGAGTGCACCTCTCCACCTGTGAGTGCACCTCTTCACCTGTGAGTGCACCCCTGCCTCCATCCTGTGAGTCCTCTCTGCTTTGTTCTGGCTTTGTTGACTTCTGATCTGTCCTAATTCAACCCTTTGGTTGTTTCTTCGTTTGTTTGTCTCTTTGTAATTTTCAGATTTTCCTGTCCAGCCAACACCAGGTGTGACATAGTACGGTTGTTGTTTTGTCTTCTTTAAAGCTCCAGTAGGAACTTTAATAGTTGTGGCAAAACATGAGGAACACTGTAAGAGTCGTGAACCCCACTGACAAATGTATACTCGAGCTTTAAGACAAGCAATCCAATATCCTCTCCCACGTAGTTTCTGTTGCTCCCTGATTGTTCTTCAACAATCCTCGTCGTGTCTATCGAGTGCCTTTTCTTGGATTGCAGAGGCAGCGAGGGGCTTTAAATTCAGCGAGGCAGTCCTTTCTCAGTCGGGGATGAACCGTTTCTTCAGCTATGCCAGCTCGGGCAGTGCTGCTGCTAAGGGTGGCCGGGACGTGTATGGTGTGCGCCCTGCATGGTCCTGGGCTAGGCCTGAATTCACCTGGCCTGTCAAGACACAATCCACTTGCGGTGAGTTTTCCTGGTAGTAGGCCACGCCACATGTTCACACTCCTCTTTCGGGATGCGCATTGCCGTACTTGGTGTTATTCGCCACCACTCAGGTAGTCCAAAAGTTTGGGTCTTGTAAAACCTAAACGCTATTTCATTACTAAAGCTCTACTTTCTCCTACCTATAATGGTAAAAACGGTGATCTGAAAGGAACTGTATGAATGGCGTATGGTTGAAGGAGGAAGGATGGAGTATTTTAGAAGCGAGGATGTGCTAGAAACAGGATATCGACTCACTTTGACGAGTTGCAGGACTCGAGTTGCAGGAGGATCATGTCGAAATCTACGCGTTAGACTCAAGCATTATGTCAAGCCAACATGTTCTTTTCGATGCGGCCTGACAGTATATGCTAAGCAGCATTGGACTTGTTTGATTTTAACGTTGTTGGGCAACAAAAATGTTTGTCCAGTTTGATTCCAAGATGTTTGAGCTGAACCAAACACAGATTTAATTTCTTGATGCTTACTTTGAAATTACTAAGAAACAGTTTCCCTTCTTAACTAAAACAATGTTAGTTTAGAGAAGTCACATGATCAAATTTTCACTCGGTAATATTCCGCGACAGTTGAGTACAAAGCATATTTATACTTGGAAATATATAGAGTTAAGAGACCATCCAAACCTTTGGGACCGCGCTATTCTAGAATAGATGATCACAAGTGCGCATAAGCACGCAAGCCCATTGGCACTTCGGATTGTACACCACAGTCGGTGCTGTATACTATAAATGTCGGTGCCGAAAATACAAAATAAGTGAAATAATCTGAAACCTAAAAAATAGTTCAGTAGACCGTTTGAGGAGAAATAAAGTGCTACTGAAAGAGGAAAATAAGGAGAATCAGAAATATATTGATTCTTGGCATACTCTCACGAGAGGTATTAATCCAAAAATCAGTCAGATGCCTAACGCTTTTGTGGAATGAAAAAATGTTGTTCATACACTAGCAAAAAAAGGAGGAAACAAAGCCCTGTAACTTGGAAAAATCTACAGGCACCCTAGCTCCTGTTGAGTGCAATACATGGTTTGTACGACAACATACCTCCTATTCGCCGACGTTGAAGGAGAGTGAAATGTTTTGTGTGAAGGTAATATGTTGAGTGTAAGTTGCACATTTTTGTGCTTCGCGGTTTACGACTCGTCCTCGCCTCAACGGTTCATGAGTTATGTGTGTTTTCGTGAATTTATGTGTTGCGTTCGTGAGATTCCTTGAAGTATGTGCGCTGTTCATGAATGTTTGTGAGCGTTCATGTTTGTGTCTGTTTTTTTTTTTCGTGTGTGTTTATGAAGTGTCGTGAGTGTTCGTGAGGGGTCAATTTTGACCCTAGATATTTCTCGCGCTGGTCAAGGTCAAACGCGCGGGAAAATCAGGACCTTGTGATTTAAGCTATAAGCTTGAAAAGAAGTGAGAGAGTGAACGTTGAAGTATATTGTGTCCTTCTAGGCTAATACCAACATTTGAAGTGAGCAAGGTGAGGATGGGGAGGGAATCGAGGGCAATTCCTAAGGGATAGGGGGCAATCCCAAGGCAATCTTTAAATGGAGGTTGAGATTGCAAAGCGCAAACTACACTAAGCTACGATCTAAAATGTGCAAGTACAAAAAGTTGAGATTGCGGTCTAACACTAACAGAACAGAACCCCCAAGCGATGGATGGTTGATTGGTTAATCCACCCCAGCCACATTGGCCCCACCTCAGGAACTGTGGACCAATGGTGGTTGATCATGTCACTCACCTTCTTCACTTTCAATTTTCTCTTGCTCATCCCTTGCTCTAGCACTAAGTATGCATGTTTAACTCTAATGAGCAGTCAGTTTCTCACTCTCTACCAGTTTAATCAAGGGCCCAACAGTTACATTTAGGTGTGCCCACTCCTCATGGGTTGCGTGGCAGGTGAATGCAATCTCTTTTCTTTCAACCAGTGATGGCGTCATGGCACAATATCTCCTCAAATTCATTTCTGCCTCCTCTCACGAGTTTCCTGACAGGTGACTGCTGGGGGTACGCAGTGGTGGGCAGTGTCGAGGCGGCATACGGCATTCTGGGGAACGCTGCAGCGGCGCCGGTGCTGTCAGTGGAGCAGCTGAAGGCCGCCATGAAGGTCGGCTGCTCTGGCAGCACGCCCTCTCAGGCCTTCCAGCTGCTGCTCAAGCTCTCAAGCAAGGGAGGCGGGCTCGTGCTGGAGAGCCAGGGGCCGGCGGTGAAAGGCAAGGCGCCCGTGAAGGCAGGCAGCAGCAGCAGTCCATTCTGCTCGCCGCCCTTGAAGTCACTGGCGAAGCTGTTTGGTGTGGCGTGCGGGAAGGGCAGTGACAACACACATGTGAGTGAGGTAGTGGGACTTAAGGTAGCTTACAGCATCACCAGATCGACTCAGTGTGTGCTGCTTCATTCAGAGAGTCCATTTCTGTGCTTCATTCACCCCAAGCTGAGGCTTCTCCGACACTGAATCCTCAGATGTCGTCATGCTGTTGCCACTGAATCCGCGTCCATTCCCCACACGTCGGTCCTCGTCCATGCCCTACCTTCACACCCCCTGCAGCTCCCTGGCGGCTTCCCCATCAGCGGCTTTGAGTCGACATCTTTCTACGGCTGGTTTGGGCTGCTGCTGGCCGTGCAGCGGCAGCCAGTGGTGGTACACATTGAGGCTTCCGCTGAGACGTTCAAGACCTACGATGGGGTTAGGCGAGCAGTGTGCTGCCTGGGACCAAGAGGGAACGAAGGGGTGTGGTGCACCTTCAAATGTCGTCGTGTGAATAATGTGTGGCTGCTATTACTGCTCCTGCTCGTGCCGTTTCCAACCCTCGCGTTTAAGGTCTACACTGCAGAGGTACATGGCAATCTGGCGAATCACTCATTTCTTTGTCAACGTCTTCCTTCCCCCAGCTGTCCAAGTACCATGATCCAGCGTGCTTCACGTACAACCTGAACCACGTGGTGCTGCTGGTGGGGTACCGCCTGGTGGGCAAGGACTCGCGCTTCCCCCACATGGCGCCGCCCTTCTGGATCATCCGCAACTCATGGGGGCCTGACTGGGGCGATGGGGGCCACATGCGCATGGACATCCAGGGGGGGGGGTGGCGTGTGCGGCATCAACTCGCTGCCAGGCCTCTACCCCGTGGTCAGAGGTGAGAGCATAAATCCCACTTGCCTTGCTTCATTTAAACATGGGTACTCATTGTATGGTCCAGTTCAGCTCATTCCACCGGTTGCACTTCAAAGCTCACTGCTGCACTGCCCTTGCTTCTCTGCTCTCCCTGTTCCTCCCTGTGCCTGCAGTGTCTTCTGACCCGTGCTACACAGCCACACGCACTGATACCTTTGGTTCCCTCTTCAATCCCTGTGGCAAGTTCACCTGCATTGTGAAGGGCAAGACAAACGAGTGTGACTGAAACGACCCTCGCTTCATCCAAGCAACCAACGCCGATGGCTCTCGCACATGCGCCTACAGTAAGCTACCGCTGCTGCTGCTGCTGCCGCCGACGCTGCAGCTGCTGTTGCTGCTGCCCCCTCTGCAGCTGCTGCTGCCACCGCAGCCGCCACCTGCCAACGTTCTCACAAGTTGAACTGCACGCCTGCCACCATGTGTTCTAATCCCTCCCCTTCTCACCCCTCTCCTCCTGTCCTCCACCCCCTTCTGCCCACCCCGCCCTGCGACTCGCCAGAGGATGCATGCAAGGCAGCCAAGCGCAACCCGTGTGCGGTGGGCACGTGTGTGAATGACGGGGCAGGGTCGTACTCGTGTGTGTGTCCACCGGGCTTCAGGCAGGGCACCACCGTTGACGGCACCTTCTCCTGTGCTCTAGGTGCCTTCTCCTCTCCTTTAGGCAGCTACTTTCCCTATATCATGCCTTAAGTTGGAATGGTGATTTTGTTACATGCTGGAAATACGCTGCCCAGGAAGGTATCACTTTTTTTCCCGGCAGTGCTGTCCAAAGTTCGCTTCCGCGATTGTTGCGTCACTGGAGGATCCACTAGAGATTTCACTTGTTGCATACGCGGGAGTGCCATAGGGGTCGACATCTTAGAGCCACAAGGTGGTCGAGAGAACTGGAGAGAAAATAAGCGAACGGAGGAACTTTGAGAGAGTTGCGTAGTTGGCTGGTCTATGACATTCGTGAAAACGAATTGGAGTATGGAGGTAACGGAAGGTGCAATGCGGTTTCCCGACGTCTCCAATTTTGTGTTTTATGGTTGACAGTTTGTTGGGGACGGGCGCACAATGGTGATTCTCGCAAACTAAAATTTCGTGCACGAAGTAGTTTTATTTTTTTGGCCGAGCAGCCCGGATAATTTCGAACAAATACACGTGCGTATTGCATACAGCGTATATACCTTTACGTATAAACGCTGTACGCTTTCCAACTTAGATCATGCTCTCTCTCCCCTTTTCCCATCTCTGTCTCGTCACTTCTCTTCTGTCAAGCCCTTCAGCCTGTCCTCCCCTCTCTCCTTTTTGTTGATGCTGGCTGCTCTTCCAGTGTCATTGCTGGTCTGCATCCAACAGTGTGCACGCCAACAGTTAAGAGTCGCTGCACTGCAGTGCTCTTGGTGCTCCCTGTCTGGTGTATAGTTGGGTGCTTAATTGGCTGTCTTATGTCTCATGGCTGCTCTGTGTGCAACGCGTGTGTGTGCAGGCGACACTCGCTCACAGTACACGGTCATGGCGCCCAACCTCTTCTGCTTGGACGTCTATCCGCCCTTTGGGCTCTCGCTTCAGACATTCCGTCAGCTCAACGTGAGTGACTAGCAGATATGCTGCTGCTGCTGCCGCCGCCGCCGCTGCCGCCGACGCCCCATATCAAGCTGAATCGCAGTTGCTGCTTTTGCAGTGTCGTAGCAGCGTGTAACCACCACCCATTACATGCATGTACCCTGCATCCTTTACCTCTTCCCGCTTCTATCATATCTCAATCAACGGTGCCGATCAATTCAAATCCTACTCTGTATCTTTTGTAATATCTCTCACTTCAAAACCCCACGACTTGCTGTGCGTGTGCAGCCGGAGCTGGATTGCAGCTCCCCTCTGCGCATAGGCACGGTGCTCTCTGTCATTCCAAACTCCCAACTTGTCCCCTGCTCCGTCTTCTACACCACTGCAGAGGTGCGTTCTTGGTTTTCCTAGCGCCTAGAGATTAATGAATATGATGGATTAAGACCCCACGGAGGCAAGTTGTTTCTTCAGCGTCTCAGTCACCACTACTGGTTGGAGGTGTGTTGGTGACATTCTGAGCGCCTCTAGATATTATGGACCTTCCACCCCTTGTGATTCCAATGGTGCACCAGAACAATGCACAGACTATTCCACAAACCCCACCACCCCTCAACCAACCCCATCCCCTCTCAATCACTCTGTTTCTCGACCGATAGCTCACCAGCTGCTTGCTTGTCTCTCTGTCTCCCTGCCTTCCTGTCCTCTCGCACAAATGACCTCTCATCCACCAGGGCGACACATGCCAGTCTATCGGAGAGTACTTCAGCCTCAACAACTGCCCCCACGGTGACCCCGCCTGCGCGTCAGCCTTTCAGGCCCTCAACCCCGGGCTCTCCTGCTCCCTCAACAGCGGCCAGCTGCAGCCCAACCAGGCGGTGTGTGTGGAGCGACGTGCCACATCAGCAGCAGAGCAGGTCATCCCGGTGTGCTCACAGTACTACCTGGTGCAGAGTGGTGAGACGTGCGACTCCATCCGCAACGTGCCCAGGCCGGCACTCTCCCGGCTTGACTTCTTCCGTTTCAACCCCGGCATCAAGTGCAACCGCCTCGTGCCAGACACCACCCTGGACCTACACACGGGGTTTGAGGTACGAGAGGTTTTGCATTGCTGCACTAGAGGGCACAGTGTCATTCACATTGATCAATGAGGCATTTCAAAAGACTACATTCAATGCGCCTCACGCTTTGCACTAGGGGGCTCATGCTTCATTCCTGCATTCCTGTCTTTTTGTTTTGCATGGAGGCACAATCTGCTGCTGCATGGCTCAAATGCATTGGTTGCTTCATCTTCCTGATGTGTTCGCTTCAGAAAAAGAGCATCATGAGCATGATGATTGCAGCACACAGCGCACGGCTGGCCCTTCCCTCGTTTACTCTGACTCTGCAAGCATCCCACAATCCCATGACCCCATGATCCCATTCCAGGCGTGCATTCAAGTCTCCAGTCAGTACACCATTGGAATTTGTCCAAGGAGCACAGCGTACGTGGCAGGTGCAGACGACCGCTGCAGCTCCATCCAGATCAGATTCTTCAAGGGCAATCGAGGATGCTACAAGCGCATCAACGGATATGAATGCCTCGATAAAGTATCCACAGGGAGTAGAATCTGCCTGCTAGACCAGACCAGGATTCGCCAAGGAGTTTGCACAGTTTAGTAAACATGTGTGTACCTGTGTATGTGTGTGTGTGGGTGTGTGTGTGTGTGTCGGTGTGTGTGTGCGCATGTGTGGCAAAGTGTTCTAGTGTATGCTGTTCAGTGTAGCCCTGGCAGGGTGCACTTACCCTGGTGTGTCAAGCTTAACAGATGTTTATAAATACACTGTATATATATGGTTTTCTTATGCACTGGTCTGGTTGTAGGATGTCTTTTAGAATTCATGGTGTGCATCAGGGGTCTGAGACCTTGATCTTGTCCCCGACACATATCGTAGATCAAAGGCATATTCTCTACAGCTCAACAACATCCGCGTCTACAAGTACCACCATATTGCTTCGCAAAATGGCCTTCCGAAGGTCGTTGGTCCGAATACACTCACGAATGCGCACCTTCAATAGAAACTCTCACAACCTACATATTGCTGCTTTTCAATCTACTGATATACCCCGTATGAATTTCCATGCAAGTCATCCAACACTTCAACCTTAGTATAGTTGCAATTGTGAGAGAGGATGAGGGGGTCTTTGTGTCATCAAGTTACAAGAAGATGCCGCAATCCGCTTAGCTTCCCATCAGGCCCCCAGAAGTCAGAGAAATTTCTCTGATTTGCATGAAAAACTCTAGTATTTCGGTTTTTTTTTATTTTAGTATACTCTAAAAATTTCAGAGTTTTTAGGACCTCAACTCTGAAAGTTTCAGATTTTTTTTTTTTTTTGCTAACTCTGAAATTTCAGAGTTTCCCGGGAGTGTACTCTGATCCCATGAGCGTTTTAGTACCTACTCTGACCTGACAGTGGCGATTAGTGCTGGAAGTTCCCACGAGTGTTTTAGTACCTACTCTGACCTGACAGTGGCGATTAGTGCTGGAAGTACAAATTTGTCGTGTCAGTCAAGCTGAAACAGTAACAGCAGCCCTGTGGCGAGGTTTTATCTCCCCGTTTTATGCTGATCATTCAGCACCTTTACTGATGCAAACTTTCTTTATCAGACTTTTATACGACTGAACTTTGAAATTTTCAGCTTTTTTGTACCAAGTTTGATTGATCAGACAAAAAATGTGTACTAGTCTGACGAATCAGACAGGCCAAAAACGAATCTGAGGGCCTGCTTCCCATGCCAATCTGCTTAGCTTCCCATGCCTCGGCTATGCACAACAGCAAATTCTCAGGCAGCGGCTTCTGCAAATTCCCTCCAATATGATAGAAGCAAAGGTAACAACAACTGTAGCACTTGCTTCCAGCAAAATAGTAGCCCTCTTATTTTTATTCCTATCATCTACAGATGGACCGTCATTGCTCCCTATACCGTTGGAAATATTGCCAAGTGTGCCAAGGAAGTAATTGAGAGCTCTAGTTGGGTCTCAAACATCGCCAGCCAGTAGAGCTTCCCGGAACAGCAAACGCCTGACATGCACACTTCATTATACGGGTATGACGGGAGGTTGGAGGCACATCACAGCTGCACACCAACAAATTTTGAGGATGAGACCACTCTCGGGGCGACATGATGTTGTCATGAGGCAGTGGTGCGTGGGCCTCAAGGTTGGGATTTTTCAAAACCAAAGGCGCTTCGTCTAATTTCTATAATTCTCTATCATAATGTGTTGGGACAACAAGGCTTTGTTAGGTCAGCTGCGCCAGTCCGGGTGGTACAGCTGACACAACTTTTCGATGTCGTTTCCGTCAGTGTCGGCTGCCAACTTGCAAAGATGAACGACGTATATCTGCACACCCCTTTGACGTGGCGTGTAATAGTAATGGCTTCGACGCACGTCGACTCAAAATGTTATTTCCATGTTTCCTTCAGAATCGCCAGACACCTATCAAGAGGTAACCGCATTTTTTTTCTGTCGCCAGATTGAAGAGGTAATGGCTAGCCCCGTTGACGACGAACATTCTTTTCTTTTTCCCCTTCGAATCCGTGTCAACAACCAGGACGTGGTGATCCACATCTCCACCCCCGTTATTCGTCCAGATACGATCGATTGCATGAATTGGAACCACGACTCGGTGGGATGGTGGTGTTCGAACGAAAGAGCATAGGTTTTAAGGGGCCCGTCTGGTATCGACTCTTCCTGTCATTCTTATTTTCCTGCATCGTGTCCGAGCAGTCCCTAGACATAGGACCCAACTTCCCACACTTAAACACAACCCCGTAAAAGGGCAATCTGGTGCATGGACTCTGTTAATTGTGGCCCATTGTGTCTGACTGTGAAAATAATTTCCCTCCTCATAAGCCAATCGCACCCACTGAATCAGCGTGCCTGTAGATTTTGCCAATCGCGTAGCTTCATTGAAGATAGCTGGACTGCCGTAGTGCACCTCACACTGTAACTCGTATTTTAGGCCGTTGATGTGTACTTACCGTTCAGCTTCCGCCACCTCATCCATAAACAATACTGAACAAATGCCAACTGCGACCAGGTATGCAGCTTGATGCGAGCGTGTTCCGAGGTGGATACATGCTTGAAATGTTCTCGTAAGGTTGCGCCTCAGTGTTCTCTACGTGCAAATTATGGTCACACCAAATATAGATGATGTCATCCTATTAGCAGAGTCCAAAGTCTCGCCTGCCATATGTGTCACACCTATCAGGGTCCCCGTGTCCATAATTTGGAGCTACCATCAATTGCTGAGCCTCGCAGAAGCAATACCACCTAATTGAAACTCGCGGCATCGCCGTTGACGTTCGGCGCAGTGAAGAAGGCTTCCACGCCGAAGAGCCACCCCTTAACGATAATATTATTGTCCGTCTGGTTAAACGGGGGGCGGGCTCGCCAGTTTAATGTTGATCGTCGTTACTGCAATTGTTATCGCTGCCGCTCGCTCCCTATCTTTTTCTTCCAAGCCTCGTGTGAGCTCGTCCAATGAATTGCTCACCGCTTGACTGTTGCCCCCGCCTTTTTTCATCCAACGACTCCTGACGTGCTTCACATCACGCCTGGTGTCCCTCGGTGTTTTCTTCGCATAGTCTCTCCACTTATGTCATTAATGTTTTCATGCATGTCTGCACCACTTCCCACATCAGCGCGTCGAAAGCCGACTGGTCCATGTGTCACAAGATACGTCTAGTAGGCAACTCGGTATTCGTGACTATCCGGCAGCGGTGCAAGCGCCGAAGGTATAGGAGTCGGGCAAGAATAAATATTGCAGCCAACCGCTTTGCAGCCCACCATACTACATGGCACTAAACTACCCGTGAAAAGAAGGGTCAACTAGGAAAGTAGCTCTGATACCAGGTGTTGAGTTGTAAAACAAGGTTGCGAAAACAAATACTGAAGCTCGTGACACTATGAATTGATGATGCAAAGAAAGGCACGCTATAAGGGCACATCATTCTCATATCATTTTCGCTCAATATCCGTCTCGACCATATTGAAGAAATATTTGACCGTTCTAAAAATTGAAGCATCGAATTGCGCAGCATCCAAACGAACGATAAGGATGCTTCCTAATATAGCGGTCCACCTAGCTAGGCAGGTACCTCGCGAATACGGGCTTTGTTCGGTAGCACTAAAGAGCGGCCATGTTGGCCGTTGGGGGACTCAAACGTGGTCAATTTGGCCATTAAGGGACCACATCAGGTGGTTCAGCACTACCAAAATCGCATGCGACCTTTCATGCGATGAGCCAAAATGCCGAGCTTCACATCCAACTTCTCCCTAAACCCACCGCCCCAACCCATACCTGTTTTTAGTCAAGAAGTCAAATATGGACCTTGTTGTTAGAGTGAATGCGGGCAGCTTAACCAATCAGAGACATAGAATGGCAGAAGTTAGCTGCTCATCAGGCCTCTCGTTTGGTTTTGGGCCCCCCGGACAAATCAGGGGGCCCGGCGTATATTCGGGCAAGGTCAGGGCAAAATTCGGCCCTTTAGACTTCAGGGCTGGAATTTTCTCCAGGTTTGGCGCGAAAAATCCTGCAGCCTCGTTTCAACTGAAAAGCTTATAGCTATACTTCGCAAATACTACAACAAGCTTGAGTTGAATTTTTTTCCAACCACGCAACTCCAAATTTGTAAGGTTGGATGCAACCAGGATAGAAATGGGGGGGGGAGGGGGGACTGGAGGAGTTGGAAGGGGGGAGGGGTAGGGGCTCGAAATATTTTGTTCCAAAGCTCGCCTAACTTCTACCCTTTACATGCTAGGCCTAAGACCAAAATGAGCCCTGTAAGGAATAAGGGCCAGAATTTTCTCAACCCATCAATTTCAATTCTCAAGAGCAACCCACACCTGGAATTCAAGGTCCAGGGCAAACTCCCTGGTAGCGACAACCCTGCTGCTTATAGTTTCAACATGAGATGCTAGTTGCCACTTCATTGTGTTTTTACATCTGGGCAGATCATGGGTTAAACCAAGAGTCCCCTGTTAACCTAAGTAGCTAGGAATGAGTAGATTAGGTCAACATGGGGGATGCAAGAACAATGTCGAGATGGGTTTCGTACCCCCTAATGCTAAACCCCCATACAGCCTATATGAAAGCTATCAGTTATGTTTTGACACACCCCCATAGGCGAAATGGGGGATAGCCAGAGCAAGCAATGGTCACAAGACCAGTCAAGAGAAGAAACAAAACACAGCTCAGGGTGGATCACAAAGTCACCACACAGTCCGAGCACAAGCAAATGGTCACAAGACCAGTTCACAAGCAGAGTTATAAAAAACACATGCAGTACAGTGATCACAACCTAGCAAGAGTAAGCATGCAGGTATATTTACATACAAAGGTCACCGTACAGGTAAATTCAAGCAGTAAGCAAGTGAGGCAGAGTAGGCACAAGGCCTAGAGCAGTGCAGAAACGCTGATGATCACCAGACACAAGTGCCTTGGTGAAGATATCAGCAGTGTTGGCCCGAGAGGCCACATAAGCAAGACAAAGCTGACCACGTTACTGCAACTCTCGTGCGAGGAAGTAACGCAGAGCGATATGCTTCGTTCTGTGCTCCAGTCTGTGGTCGTAAACCACACAAGGCAATCATGGCCTTGTTGTCGACGTACA